GAGTTTAATTTATGTTACTAGTAGTCGTAGTAGTCAGAATACATTGCTTGCTTTTTCTTCTTTTATTTTACATTGCATACATCAACTGCTGTTACATTACAAACTAGAGAAAGAAACGACATAAAAGCTGCTTTTTCGTCCTCTTTTATATGTGTGTATATGTCGTTTTTATGATGCTTTTTTCATTCACTTTGTTCTTCTTTTTGCTTGCTTCTACATTGTGAGTATGTTATACACTGAGAAATAATACAACCATGGTGCACTAAACACACACACCACACATACATTCATAGAGAACATCGCAATGCATTTTTTGCCTGCCAATGTCTTTCTAGTTTTTTCATCATTATAATCATCATCACGTATAGAAGGCAAGCAAAACGACTCTCTATAAAGCAAAAAAACACATACAGACACACTCACATACACACACACACACACTCACACACACACACATATACATACAAAAAATAGGGAAGCTTTTTATTTTTCAAAAAAATTGAATCTTATATATAACATCCCTTCATGTAGCTATCGTACAGAGCAATAATAGTAATGGTGTTGTTTTCTTCCTCTTAGAATCAAGCAAAAGAATGTCTATTGACCAAAAAGTTGAAATTGTGCTAGCAGTTCGTATGTATTCATGAGAGAGAGAGAGAGAGAGAGAGAGAGAAAGAGCATGTGTGTGTCTTACAGAATGGTTATACGTACGTACCAATCTTCATTGCCTATGTCTACTCTCTATTCGTGCTGTTGAACATTCAATCGCAATCATTGTTCTCGTCCTTGTTACATTTTCTTCTTGTTCTTCTTCTTCTACATCCTCACAGTCACATAAAACAACAGCCATGTAAAGCATAGTACATTGCAAAGCTGCATGAAAAATGCAATGAAAAAAAAGTGCACTTCATTTTGACAACATATTTTGTCAGAACTTCGTTTGAACAACTTATGGTGAGACTTAAAGTAAAGTTTTTTCTGAACAAATGTTTTATTTTATAAAACTATCTATCTTGATGGAAAAAAAACGAAATGATATTTTTTTCTTTTCTGTGCTTTGTTAATGTTTTTTTGTTCCTTTCTCTGTTTCTTAAATTGAGATATGTACAGTTACAAGCTTTTATTTTAACCGAATTTAGAATATTTTTTCGTTTTTTTTTTTTGCCGGCTTAATTCTTGCTAATCATTTACTAGATCTCAGCGATTAAGTTAAAAGTGTCATTATGTGACAACAACCATTCTGCATAGAATTATAACAGAACTTGATAATCGTAAAACACTTTGTCAAGCGCAAAATCACTTAAAAAACTTATTACAAATTCTTTAAAATACCCTCTTAAACATTATTCTTTGCAGTGTATATGGTATTCAATATGGTGAAAACCAGAAAGCTAAACTCTATCTTATTTCAGATAATAATTGTCATATTTTTTATTGATAAATCATTGATTATCATTAAACAATGCCTCGGGCATCTAAAAAACAAACAAAAGATCCTAATGCACCGAAAAGACCATTATCAGCATTTTTCCTCTTTTCACTAGACGAAAGACCCGCTATAAAGGCTGGTAATAATTCATTATCTGTTGGTGATATTTCAAAACAAATTGGTGAAAAATGGCGAAAAGTTAAGTAAGTCATTTTAATCGATTAAATTTCATAATGTGTATCACGTAATTTTTATTTTCAGTGAAGATGTTAAGAAAGGTTATGAAAAACGAGCTGCAGAAGCCAAAAAAAATTATGAAAAAGAACTGGAAGCTTATAAGAAAAAACAAGCGAGTTCAGGTGGTGTTTCTAGTGGTGGTACAAGTGCAAGTGCACCATCAAAAAGCCGACCAAGAAAGAAAGCACCACCTAAAGCACCCGAATCTGATGAAGATGACATGGATGGTGATGATGACGACTAAATGATGGACTCAATAAAAATTTAAATGTATAGTGTCTTGTTGTACAGTCTATCAATATGGTAGAAAACATTATGTAGAAATTGAGTCGAATTTAATGACTGTTGTTATTATTGTTGTTGTTTCAATTCTTAGAATGACCGATCGTTTTTCCTTCTTATTGATATTATTGTTTTTTCCTCTGACCTGTTCACTCAACTAAGCAAATTTGTTTTCTGCCATTTCATATATATTTTTCTTCTGTGTCTGTTTGTAGCTTTATCAAATCTTTTTGTGTACTGATGGAAACAAAAACATATTCAAATAATATAGATTAAATAATTAAACATAAAATTATACAAAATTGCTAGTGAAACTAAAAGTATATAATTTCTGATTTCAATCATAGATGGAAACGATGATACGTAACGAACGTCCCTATTTTAGTCGAAAATGTATTATCTGGGAAAATAATAGACTAGACAATGCTATACTTTTGTATAAAGCAGCGTGGCTCAGTCGGCTAGTAGGCAGGCAACACACTTCAAAGATACGAAGTTCGAATCCCGGTAATGGCAATCGCATGATAGTCTTGGACAAGCTATCTAATGCTCATTGTCTCGGTACCTTTGAGCACAGACGCAATGAGGTAACCTGATTTCAGTGGCCACTGGAGTGGAAAGATGAGAATTAAAGTTTAAAAAAAAAGATACAAAAGTATACCATTGTCTAGTACATACTCGTGAAACGTTTTCAATAGGGAAAATCGAATCATTTTCACTAAATTTATAAGAATACAGCGGGACTATTAAATAAACCGTTGAACCAGTTTTGCATTGGTGTTGGGAAATCTAGGAAAATCGCCATGCATCGGTTATCGAGATTCGCTCATAGCTGCGGAACGTCTCATTTTACAGAAAAATATTTGCTCTACAAAATACAGTAAATTATAGAAAAAAACTCTTCGAACAATTTTTTTGGTGTGATTTACTGCATTTTAGAATGCTCTAAGCTTTGTTAGAAATAATTTTGAAACTTTTTTAACAAATGCATTTGGTGAAACAAACATTTTTTTACAAAATGAGACGTTTCACAGCTCTGAGCAAATCGTGATAACTGATGTATAGCAATTCTCCCGGATGCCCCAACACCAGTTTTTAACTCGTGTATACCTAATCTTCACTAATGAACGATTGTTGATTTTCTGTTTGACACTGGCTTTGATTTCCTTTTGTTAGAATTACCTTCAATATCTTTAAAACATCCAGCGAAGTCTCGCTAGTCTGAGTCTGTCATCTCTTGGTTCTGATATAAGAGAATTTATAACAATCTAACATTAGACATACGATATTAGTTTATATTTTTCTTGTAACAAACCAGTTACTGTAAAAACTGAATCAAGATTAATGCAATATACTTAAAGGTATCCCTTCGTTACAATCTCCAGATAACTTGATCTGATCAGCTTCAAAATTTTCAAAATTTTTTCAAACGCATTTCAAAAAATGAAGAACTGGGAATTTTTAGACATTTTTAAGTCTTTTTGCTAGATAGCCCAAAAGAAAAGATGATAAAACGAAAACAAACTCCACATCTGAGAAATATTGCCGAGTATTTAGAGTAAAATTTTGAACTTGATCAGATCAAATTATCGAGAGATTTAGTATATTCAAAATTATAGAAAAGAATTTAAGTAAAATCATTTTATATACAAACAGAGCTTTCCGATGATGATACTGTGATAGTGTCGAAAGCTGTTTGTATATAAAATGATTTTACTTAAATTCTTTTCTATAATTTTGGATATACTATGTTTCATTAAAAACGTAAAAAAGTCAAAAAGCATCAATATATCGAGAGATTGTAACGGAACGATGTAAAAACTTTGATAACTAGGCATTTGCTACACAAAGGATGCTTAATTGATTTTTCAATGAGTCATGAAAGGAAGAAGGCGTAGTGGGTTTCAGTTATATTTTGTAATACTTCGAAAAGTTCAAGAAGAGCGGGTAGAGGAATACCCTAAAACACAACACAGGAGATTAAATATCAAAAAATTCTTTATTTAGTTCGATAAGGATTTTAAATGGATGACACAGAAATCCTATGCGTTTATTTATTTCATGTTCAATTATCATATAAAACGAAAAAGAGTCAAGATAAAAATTATCCATAAAATAGAAAGAATGAGAAAAATCAAAATTTGCACAAGAATTACACATTCGATCAAAATGAAACTAAAAACAAACATTTTCAAAGCGCATGAGCATGTGTCCAGAAAAAGTAAACATACATTCTCTCCGAGATTATATGATAAACAATAAAAGAGATTTGGATATTAAAAAATTTACACTGATATTTCATAATGTTTTCCATCTAATTTTCGTACTCCCACAGGTAATTGTTCTTGAGACATAGTCAATGTAGTATGTCTTATTGATGAAGGATGAGAAGGATAATCATATGAAAATGACATGACAGGATGTGCTTGTCGATAAGATTCATTTCTCAATGTAATACCACTATTTGTTGTGTTATTTGAAGCATTATCACCGTCCGGTTTAGTCCTGAGTGGTTTATGTAATATATAATCATTATAATATTGAATATTTGAAACAGACGAAATGAGTTTATGATTATTTGAATTATATTTTCTTCCACTAATGATAATATCGGCGCTGCCATCATCATCATTTTCATTATAAATTGTCTCACTATCTTCAACATTATCATAACTACATTTCGATGATAAGGACATATTCGATACACTTCGATGGAATGAAGAATGGAACGTTTGTCTTGGATCTTCGACCATTGACTGTTGTTGTTTTATTAGTTTTTGTCGTTGTTGTTTTCGTTCATTTATTGATGAAGTAGAAGAAGAACTGGAAGACGAAGTGGTTACAAGTGGTTGTTGTTGTGGAATCATAATTGGTCGTTTAAGACTATTCGTTGAAGGTGATGCTGTATGATTATTGGTAGATGTTGAATGACGAGAATTGTTTATTTGAGAATGTCTTTTAGATGAAGTTACAATTTTGTGAGTTCCTATAATAAAATGATGCACATTTTTAATTCATCAGTTTGTTCCTCATATGGTCGGTTAACACACACACACACAAAAGGATAATTTATACTGCAAAGAACTTTTAACTAAATCCTATTTTGTACATAGAATACAGTTTAGTTAAAGAGAAAGAAAGAGACAGAGATGGAGGAAAGCATACACTCTGGTAGATTAGAAAGAAGAATGAGATTTGTCATTTTAAAGTGAAAAGAAATATCCATAACACAATGTGTTAGAAGAAGTATGCAGTTTTTACTTCGTTACATTTTTAAAGTAGATCAATAATGAAGTAAATTGTGAGTGTAACAATTTGACTATATCTATGATTATTCAAATGGATTACTGTCTAGAAAACATATGATAAAGCTCGGAATATGGCGTATACACTGCTAGCAATAGTACACAATACATTAAGGGCTACACACATATGATATTAATTAATTTTCTCACAACAATTTTGTTTTTAGTCAGTATATATTTAACATTTGGAAAAAATTACCTATTTTCGTTTTTTCATTAACATGATTTTCAAGTGGGTTCACATGTACATTTGTTTGTTGTAATGTTGATTGTTTTTTTGTTCTGCTTCTTGGTTCATCCTCTTTTTGTACATCATCATCTTGTTCTTTATCGTTTGATTCAACATCACTTTCGATTTCTTTATTTGTCTTTAATTTTTTCTTCAATTTATTATTGTTAGTATTATTAATAGCACCATTATTATCGACTTTATTATTTGCTCCTTTATAAACAACTCGATTTGTTGATTTATTTTTAATCTGTTGTGTTTTTTGTGTTATTATTTGATTATAAACGTCGACATTATACGAATTTACTTTTAAATCAGTCAATTTTGGATATAATGGTAAACATAGAATTCGAAAAAAATTCATAATACATCCATAATTAAATGGATCACCTTGTTCACGATATTTTTTTGTTACTTGTTCATTTGTTGTTCGACCTTTTGAAATTAAATAAATATGAAAAGATGTTAGACCACCAATGGGTATCACCATTAAACCAATAATAATGAGTAAAATAATGCAAACAATAAAACGATAAACACTAAAACCGGTTAATGGAACATAGCGTGAAGATGATAATATTGTGGTTGTTGTAATTGATTGTAATGAATCACTAAGTGATGTTGTCAATAAAGATGAATTACGATTAAACATAATATAGTACAAACAAAATGAAAATATTAATATCATATGAACACATAATAAACATAAAAATTGAAAAAAATAACGATAATTTCGTCGTGCTACGCAGTTATTTAGCCATGGACAATGGTGATCGAATGACTAAAAGAAGCAGAGATAAATGTACAATGTTTAACAATACTCAATATATTATACTATTGAAGTTGATATTTTTAAAGTGTCAAATACAATTAACTGATATTTTTAGATTAAAAAAGAATGAATTGAATGTTAAATATGAGATAAAAAATGTGTCAACTATATGTTTTACAAATATTTATAGAAATAAAAAATACAATAATAAACTTACATCTATACAACGTTCACATATTGAACAGTGTGAACATCTAGGCGGTCTAAAAAATTTACATGTTGAACAATATTTCATATAAACTTGTCCATCTTTAACTTGAACTAATTTTGGTGGTGGTGAATATGGATGATCATCATCCTTATCATCACTATGTATAACAGTTGAATATTCATTTTTTAAAGATTGTTCATAAATACCCGGATCTAAAAATGTTGCCAATAAAAAATTTGAACATAAAAATGTAAATAATAGACAATGTGAAATTGGTATAAATATCATCATATTTAATATACGAGTTATTTCTGGTAACACGATAATACCATAGGTAAATGAAGTTAATAATAAAAGAGACCAAGCAAATATTGCTGGTAAACGTTTCGTTGAACAGGATATTAATGGTTTTGATGATGAAGATGAAGGCATTTCATTGATATATGGTGAGAGAATAGCACCGTGTTAGAGGTGCTATACCCACCCGTCATTTACATATATAAAGATAAAAACTGACAAATAATAATAATAATGATGAAATCTAAAAAATAGTAAAAAAACAATAAAAAAAATAAAATTATAATATGTTTATAGCTCAATGAACATCTTAAATGATGAAATAAATAGTCTTTTTTTATCATTTGAGGAAAAATTTCTATTTATGTAAGAAGAAATATAAAAGAAAAATGAATAGAAGTTTCATTTAAACTAACAAACATTTCTTTTTAAAGAAGTCAAAAACAGATCTGTTTCAATCTTCTATGCATTATATTGGTATGAGATGTAAAAAGTACTTAGGAAAAAAAACATATTTTCTTTATAAAACTAAAAGAAAAAAAGTCATCAATCTGTTGTTTCACATGAACATGTTTAAGCCAAACTTAACATTCATTTCTTCAAGTTGAAGAATTATACTGTTTGATTGATAAATGATTTATAAAAACTTATAAATATCTTTGAGTCTTTTACTTTTAATCCAGTCTTTTCCAAAAATCTTCTCTAGATGACACCTAGTATAACACTTACTCTCACATTGTACACGCATAAACACACACACACACATATAGAGGTTATACACAGTAGTATATTGAGAAAAAGGAAATCTTCTAATGTGTATATGTGACCCAGAGAATTTATTCTACACATGCTTATCAACCATAATAACAAGAAAAAATGCATAAACGCTATTGGGAGAAAGAACATCATCAATATGATCAAACAAGAGAAGAAAGAAATGCAATTTTATCTCACGAATACAACATAGAAAACAGAGAACAAATAACACAGATACCTTATTGAGCCAACAATATATTATTAGTATTAACAAGACAGAACAGTGAAAGTGACAGAGAGAGAGAGAGAGAGATAGAGAGAGCCAGGGGGAAATATAATCCGATACTGAATAGTTTTTATCCTATTGACTGTATATACATCGCATCAACAATAATTGTCGATCATCATGACGTGAGGTTATCACTACATATTCAATTATTAAAACGATTGCAAACGATAAAATGGACAATAGAGACACTTAAATATGTAGCTATAGGGTAGGGAAGCATACAAAAGCAGGTAAATAAAAAAATTATAAGTAGAAGAGAGAGAAAGAGTGAGATCTTCCCTTGATTCAACTAAAAAAACATCTAATTTATTCATAAGAACAAACGTTTAAATTACAATACCGCATAACTGAAAACATCCGGTTTAAAATTGCCAGATAAAACAAATTAAAGATTTTATATTTTGTTATATTCAACTATTGCCGCAATTTTTGAAGTATTAAAAATTCAGAAAAATGAACGTTGTTGTTCTTCTTTTGTACAAAAATATCATAGAAACGACTATATGTTCGTAACAACATTCGTCAAATTCATCTCACGGCAGGTAAAAAATTCATTAAAAACTGTTGACAATTTAGAATCGATGATATGTACAATAAAATAAACCATTTATTTGACTTACACGCCCAGTTGTTGACCACCTATAGAGAAGATATTTAGATATATATTTAAATATATATGTATGTGTATGTATATGTATATGTGATTGAACAAAGACAACTTGTCCGTACACATTATGTCTTTCTTTTCTGTTTAAGCGACACATACGAAAATACGAGTTCTACATAAAAACTATTAGACGAACAATAAATATTCTGTGCTAAGGTATCATATTGAGGTGAATGAGAGAGAGAGAGAGAGAGAGAGAAAGAGAGACAGAGAAAGAAAAAGACTCAAGTAATCAGAAGTGTTTTTTATTCTCTGAGCTGTGCTCAGTACTCATTATACAAACAAAAGAAGAAAAAAAAAAAAGAACAATTAAGTACGTATATAGTATATACGATGAACAGAAAAAAGAAAGAAAGAAAGAATTAATATATACAGAGCACCAGCAGGTAAAATAGTAAATGAACAATGAATCCGAGACACTGATTTAACAGATGATACAATAACAATAATGTCATCAATATGATGTAACAAATCTGGTTCTTAACAATTCTTTTTGTTTTTTTACAATCTTACTGAAAAGTTCAATTCTCTCAAATGTTTCTATAAATCACTTACAAAAGTACGCAGACAAAATCAACGATAAACTGACAATTATTTGCCATATTTACTAACTCTATCAAGCTATTTTTTTTATTTTTATATTAAACATATATCAAAAGGATTATAACAACATTGAATATTTTTTTTTCGTTATCAGTAAAAACATAAATTTATATACAAAGGTGAAGAACTCGTATAGTCTGAAAAAATGTATAATTTATATTATAATTGTAAAAAATAATCAAAAGATCAAAACCTTTGCCACAAAAATAAATAAATAAGTCGAACTAAAATTAATATATTATCACTACATATAGCCTATTTTTGACATATTGAAGGTTTGCTATTATAGTAGTATTTGTCAAATAGTATATCATCAACAAAAAATGATGAACTGATTTGTTTGTTCTTAGATAGAGAGTTAAACGTATCAAATCGCTATAATAATAATAATATTAAGACGAGATTTGTCTCATAAAATAATTTTCAACTTCAAAAACTAAATGATAAAGCCAGAGTACATCGCACGACAATACTTGTACTCTCGAACAAAATTAAAACATCTAATAGAATTGACTTTATGAGAAAATAAGCGATTTTCCCGTGAGACAATAAAGTATATATAATTTACTCAGAATCACATGAAAGTGTATCGACATTCTCTCTGTAAAATCGTTGAATGAGTTTTATCAAGAGCCTAGTTGTCAATTTAAACAATGTTATGGTTTACAGTAGATATACCTAAAAGTAATTCTATTTGATTCTGAGTAAATTATGCATACTTTATTGTCTCATGGGAAAATCGCTTATTTACTGATAAAGCCAATTTCATTAGATGTCTTAATTTTGTTCGAGAGTATAAGTATTGTCGCGCGATGAAACCATTTTCTTGTCTTAATATTATTATCACAGCGGTTTGATATGCTTAACTCTCAGTCCAAAAACAACCAAATCAGCTCATCATTTTCTAGATGATACTATTTGAGACAAAATGATTGGCAAATTCTCTTTTTTTTTAACAGACAGTAGTTAGATGTAGCTATTATCAACTCTTTTTTTTAACTACCGACTATCATTACAACTTATTCCAATAGTTTATTCTACATTAAAATAGCAATGAATGAATGAATTTTTATCTATAGATCTAACAAAACTTTTCAAACGAGATAAACCACAATCGTAGGTAAGGATAATGAAATAAAAACACAGATGAAAACAAATATTTATTATAAAAAAAAGAACAAAGAAAAAACAGATAAAGTATCAAAAAGGTATCTAAATAGTAAAACAAAAAACGTTAGATTTTTATTTAACAAAAGTATACATGTACATACAAGTTTTACATCGTTCAATAACCAAATAGACTAAAATAAATAAATATAACGATTTACTGGTAGAATAAAAAACATTATCTTAATACTTCTGTACAATTGTAATGATATTTTAAAATATTTTATAGAATGCCAACATACTTACGTTAGCATAAGAGTAAGAATTATGATATTCCAAAGTCCAATAAATATACGAAAATATTGAAGACTGTAGAGAAATTCATGAATTTTATCACCTAGAAAACAGTAGAAGATCATCTTGTCAAGATTTTATATAAACTTAAATATAGAATAATATACCAATCGATGGATTTTCAACAACAAAACCCAATTCTTTTTTTTTTCTTAAAAAACAAAGAAAAAAAAAGTGAATCATATTGAAAACGTTTTTGTTGAGTATCTCATTTATAATCACTTACAATTTAAAATTTAAAACTGCACCAGCATTCATCAGCAATGTACTTAAAAATAGAACACAAACATTTATTAGTCGAAAAGAACTAGTATTTATATTTATTATGCTTACAAAAATACAACTAATGTGGAAATCATCTGATTATTTTTCCAATGTTTGTCTTATCTAAAATATTATTAAAATATTTTTCTAGAATTAAGAATTTTTTTTGCGCTAAAAGAACACTTTAGTGTGAGAGACAATGAATCAATATGCGTTTTAGTGAGAGAATATATGGGTACATCTAATAACAGAAGTTATCATATAACCAATTCTTTTTGTTACATAATACAAATTTAATCTTCTTAAAGGAGATAAGTTAACGAAGAAAAACTCTATTGATTTCGCAACATTATTTATTATTCATGAGATGACAAATATTTATACAATACAAATTTACAATGGGAAAAATATATCACTGTTAAACAAAATAAACATAGTACGCTAAAAAATAGATATTTTTTTTTTTGTCTATTTGGTTATTGAACGATGTAAAACTTGTATGTACATGTATACTTTTGTTAAATAAAAATCTAACGTTTTTTGTTTTACTATTTAGATACCTTTTTGATACTTTATCTGTTTTTTCTTTGTTCTTTNAAAAAAAAAAAAAAAATTACCCTAAAAAAAAAATATTTTTTTTTTTTTCTTCCACTTATACAACTTAACCCCCAAAAATACAATAAAAATAAAAATGTTTTTTTTTTTTTTTTTTTTGTTTTGTTAATCACATTTTAGTGAAGAATAATTAGTAATATACAAGGAAATAAATGACAATAAAAAAAGTAGTAACAACAAAAACCAAAATCAAAAAAAAACATTGACTAGAGATGAAATGATCAGCGACTAACTGATCAATAATTTACAATTTGAAAAAAAAAATGGTTCTCTTTAAAATGGACTAAGAACGTTTATACATACTGACAATACATTCTCTGTACGAATTCATGTCTCTTATTTTACTTTTCTGAATAAATTTATCAATTAAGATAATTGAACATTCTCATTTTTAGATCTGGCAATTCTATCGTTTTATAAAAATACATAATCATCTGACAATGAATGTAACCGATTGTGAGTACCATCATAATCTGTATAACATTGTTTACTGTTATTGTTATTCGTATTATTTTGATTACTACTATTAGCTATTGAATGGGAATGTTTATTCTTCTTTGTTGGTTGATTTAATTTTGTAACTCTCAAAATATTTTCTTCTTCTTGTGGATATTCAACACTAAATGATAAATGAGAATCTTTGAATGTACCATCCATAATTCGAAATATTGGACAAGATGATGGATTATTATTTGTGCCACTAGTAAAAGTAGCACGACGATAGTTAGATGATGATGAATCACTTAAATGCATCCACTAAATAAAAATATATCAATTTCAAAAAATAAAATAAGAAATTTCGAAAAAAATAAGCAATAAGTCGTACCTCCGAACAAAATTGATCAAAGTCATTTCGATCACGACAATAAAAGCCTAGAGTACATGAAGGGTCCATTTTTTTGGCTGTCAATTTTTTTGGCGATGAACAAAAGAAACTCTAAAAATAAATAGAGAAAAAAAGACGATAAAATTAGTAAATCCAATATGATTATAAAACGTACCGATAGGTCGAATGTATCATCTGTTACATTTACAGTCGATTGACTATAATGAGGATCCAAATCAATAAAATTATCGTCTAGAACAAACAGAAGCAATTGAATTCTAGCATATTTTACTATGTTTCGTCTATTCACTTAAAACAATACAGTTCAGATATTTTGTTGTTTCTTAGTTTTTTTACCTTGAAATCCAATGATATACACAGCATGTTTTGGACTGCCACCAATAATTCCAACAGTTTGTGATAGTTTTAACGCTTCTTTCAAATATGGTTCATAAATTAGATCCAATTCATTTAAACCCAATCGTAATGGAACTAATAATAATAGTGAAAAATTCCATTTCTCTCCAACTGTACTAGTAGAAGTTGTTGTCAAATCACGAAGTGTTGGATACAGCAAATTTTTTGCCTTCTCCACTGCTGATGGTGCACAACATAAATCGATAATATCTTGACGATAAACTGTATAAAAACAAAGAATATTAAACAGTTTTAATTACAAAAAATTGATTGAACACGTACTAATTGCATCTTGACTGACATACACACGAAGATTATCCGGTATTTGTTTTAATTCTACAGATGACTGAACAGCTTGTCTGAAATAAAAGCAACAAACTAGTGTACCTAATATTTAATGAAAAACAACTGTACTTTAAGGCATGTGCCACAGAAACAGGACCAAACCAATCACCGGGACGGATTCCATGTTTATCGCCAATTTCAACTATTCTATAACGAAAAAAGCAGAACTAATGGTGTTGTTAAAGTTAACGGAAGAGCGCATATTCTTCAATCACTTTTTTAGTCGCTACAATATACTGAAGAAAGTTCATAAGATTTTTCCTTCTTTCGAACGAGATAAGTTTTCAAATACCAAAGTATATGAAATGTTTACCGATGAATGCTAAATGGACATTTTTTTGAGTCAAAATCGCCAAATAGTCGAATAATATCGCGATATAATTGAGGACGTTTGTGTGATTTTGCTAAACTTTTCAACTGCTCGATAGAATTTCTTTTAGACGCTAAAATAATGAAAAAATTTGGTTTATACAAATATGAAAACAAATCTTCAACTCACTTCTGTCGCATAGTTGTGTATTCTTAGATGATGATACGTGGACAAGCAGTGTTTGCGCTAGTAGCATTTGTGCACATCTAATCATACATCCCCATCCCATATCTGAAGTAATTGAATTGCTTCCAATTAACGGATCAAATTGCTTCCGATAAGATAAATAAATGCGTTGTTGAAAGTCAGATAAAAAATGACTGTAAGATTGTTCCGAATATGAGCAAGATGCATCATCGTAACTCGTGTCTAAAATAGAAACAGCAACATTAAAAAAGAAGTTAAGATCAATGTGTTAAAATACCATCTTTTCCATTATATTTTCTTCCTAGAAGATATATTGGCGATTCGTTGTTTCGAAAATTTGGTCTCATCCGTACAGCCCATCGATATTTCATGTGATTTAATGCGGCCGTTACTTTTGATTTAAAAAATTTGTTATTCCCATTACTAGTACTATTCCCATTATCGCCTGATTCATTTTCATTCAAACCACTGCCAATTTCATTGCATGAATTATACGCTCGTTGTGTTGCTGTATTCGGTGAACTAGATGGTGACTTCATTAATGTCATTACAAAACGACTTTCATCTTGCTGTTGTTCCGGTTTTTTTGAACTTCGTGGATTTTTAAAAAAACTATTCTTCGTGGAATGAAGGACGAGTGAAGATGTACTGCACGACGGTGATGGAGTAGTTGAATGTGACACAATGGAATATGTTGACGAAATCGATGACGGAGACAACTGCGATGCTGATAATGTACGGTAACGAGCAATTGAAGGGTTATTTTCGATGGATGACGGTTTTAGCAACATTACTTTTGACCAAATCACTAAAATTACGCTTTATTTAATATCTAAAAGGAGAAACTATTATTGAGACCAAACTGTTTCATGCTTATGATAAATCAGTAGGACTGATGTATACAGGGATGCCATCTCTAAAGGTCCGAAAAGCGGAAAATCGTTTTGAAAAAGTGAACAGCATGCTTTTCTTTATTTCAAGTGTATTTTCTTTTCTTTGCTAATCACACCGATTTTTTTGCACACAGGAGAGAAACATATTCACATACAAACAAACTAATCTTTTAACAACAACATAAAAAATAAGCATAGATATTTATTGTACATGTTGTCTTTTGATATTATACCTTTTTTTTCCGATTATATACCTGTTAAGGTCGCTTTTATCTATTCACAGTTAAACAGACAAGAACTTCGGATGAGTGATCGCGAAGATATCTTCACTAAAAGTAGTTGTTCAGTACCGTTTAAATACGATATTTCAAAATTTCTGAAAAGTGAACCAAAACCAGACAGCGGACAAAAGACCAAAAAGTGGACCAGTTGGCAATTCTGGATGTATAATGACCATAGAGAGTTGAAAAAAGATAACAGATTTTTAGAGACATAGTGCAAAGTTAAAACAAAGATCTATATGTGTTGTTCGAAATTGTCAAAAAATAAAACGTCTTCTAACGCCAATAATGCACGGAACACATCTACTGTGCTTTCACCTTAGGTAACAAATTATAGTTAACACGTTCTCAGCTAAAACGGTCATCATGATCATGAGACGGAAACGGATTCTTCTCTGCTAGCCAAGAGATCAAACTTTCAATTATGTTCCATCCTACGCAATAATAAAGCAGGGTAAGTTTGATTTGGTTTATTTATTATTTATTACTGGCTCTAGACCAGAAGTGTAATTAGGATTTTTAGACTTTTGGGTCATTCTTCCTAGAGTTAAAAAATCGATAGGCCCAGGTGGGCTGGAACCTAATTTTTTAGACTGGTGTCATTTCTGATACTAGCATTTTTCCTGCTCCTCTTGGATGACAAAAAGATTGAAAACTCACAACACACAAAACATTTGAACAATAATGCATAAATTTGTTGAAGCATACAAAGGACGGTGATGGTCAAAATGGCAAAATACTGCTGTTTTTCGCTGGTTTTTCTTATTTTTCAAAACTTTCACCATATCCGGAAGCGTTTTTGCTCTCTTCGTCAACGCAGGTTTGAAGAGCTTTTCGAGCACTATTGACTTCATCAAGAACTGGTTCGAAGCCTTGTTGATTTTTTCAAGACAATCAAGAGGCATTAGCCAAAGATGCATATGTTTTCTTGCTCAATTCAATCAGCTCTACCGTATGTCAAGCAAAATCTTTTCCCAGAAATGCTTTGTTCCTGAGATATTAGCCATTTTTTAGAATGTATTGCTTACATGAAAAAATGTTGTACAGCCTACTGTCTTAACAATAAACTTGGTTTAAGCTTCAACCAGAACGAAATCGGGAATATAAATTCTCATCATATCTTCCTGAAACGTAAACTACCAAAACATAGAATCAATCCTTGCACGCAGCTAGGGTGAAACACACGTAGTTGATCTTTGCAGAGGAACTGCAAAAATCAACTACTTTCAACTAAAAAGTAGTAAAAACTATACACGAGGACGCTGTTGTCAACATGAGCAATAAGTGACGATCATCAAAGCAGGTCACAAAGAACATCGGCAGTTAAGAAAAGCTTTGACAGGACTTTTATATGTACGGTTAAAGAAGTTATTATAACAGAAATTATTATATATATTATATTATATATATATATATAATTTATTATATTATTTATATATATTATTATATATACTTCTTTTAATTTACTTACTGTTTACGCTTTCATTATGGCATTAAAAGACTCAAAACACAACCTAACTGAATTTTTTTAACATAAGGGAACACCAAATACATATGGGAAGCAACAGCTATGATGTTATCACACTTTTTACGGTTCCGTGGAGGAACACCAAGTGTATATGGGGAGCACCCGCTTTAATGTCATCACGTTTTTGGAGGAGCGTCTACTAAAGGAATATCGAAGAGTTGAAAATGAATTCTAAAAATATTATGAAAGAATTGAATTATGCATGAAATCAGATTAAATAAATTTTAAGTCTTTGATCGTCCTTTGTCAAGAAAAAAAGAATAAACACAGGGTAAATTACTCAAAATTCGCATCTCGCTTTTATGTCATCTCTTATTCAGGATAAACTTCGTCCAGAATTCGTAATCAAAAAAAGCGTTGAGCCAGACAATAAAACATTTTCCATTGGGCCGACATTTAGATTGTACTGGGCCATGGCCCAATGCCCCCGCAGTTGCGCCACTGTCCTAGATATTCAACGGTATCTTACGGAATGAATTTTCTGTTAATCGGTTAAACACCATCCAATTAAAATGTTGGAAAACCTCTCTACTGAAGTAACAGATATTAATTACTAAGGAAGAATTTCAACAAATTGCATGGAACTTGACCACATAACAAATACTGTCACCGCCAGTAATAACTATCTTCATCTGCACACTCGTGATGTCACCGCACGTAGAGCTATTGCTGATTTCTTTCCACTAATCACATTCTGAATTTGAAGTAAGCAATGTAACCAAACAATTTCTATAGTTTTGGTTTGTTTACGTTGATTCCACTATTACTATTAAGTCAGAGCACCTTAGACAAAAGCCCGAGGTGCAGTGGTATACGTAAAGTCACGCTATTGATTGCGACGTATCTCTAACGTTTATGTGTGTAGTACCCCACAAATAAAGTGATTGCGGATGACCAGCATTTATTCATGCAGAAACGATTAATTGTCTTCCAAACTAACCGATTTATTTAAGTGCCTCTCAATCTCCACTATTCACTGTATTTGTTTTCAGATGGCAGCTTCTTTGGTAACTCGTGGCTTAACTCAGCTGAAAAGCAAAGAATTTCGAGATTATCTTTTCAGGTAAGTGCCTGTTACATTCAGGCTAATCGTTTCAATAACTCATCTTTTTTTGTCTACTTTAGTACGGTAAGTTATTGTCAAAAATCAATTATTGACCTGATGTTGATTCATTGTTTATTTTGTATTTTTTATTAATAAGCATTTTTGGGGACCGGGTAAGGAGTATATAGCCAATTTCTTCCTCATGCCATCTATATTTTGTGATTGTTTGTTTTAAGTCGCTAATTGGGGCTTACCATTAGCTGCATTGGCTGATTTGAAGAAGGATCCAGAGATAATTAGTGGAAAAATGACTGTTGGTAAGCTTCTTTTTGAAAGATTTAATCTGATTGCTTGAATGTATTATATCTTTTTAGCTCTTTGTTTTTATTCTTTACTATTTATGAGATTTGCTTTACGTGTCAAACCAAAAAATCGTTTATTATTTGCTTGTCATTTTGCCAATGAATGTGCTCAGTTGATGCAATTGAGCAGATTAATCAATTATAAGTATGTTCGTTTAGAATATTCTCTCACCTTTTGCTGACATGCTTTTTTACATTCTTTTGGTTTCTTCTCCTAAAAGATATGGTAAAGCGCAACCTATTCATCAAAATCAAGTACCACTAACAAAAACAGTTCCTGCACCTTAAGTTAAGACATTTGGTATATATTTTTCTACAGTATTTTTTATATGAGTTATTTTGATAAAACAAATGCATTTATTTATATGTGTGTGTGTGTTGTACTCATAATTATAGCATTTATCAGTTCGAATATGTTCGATATATGCTGGTGCCATTTGTTCCTTTTTTAATCTATTTAATTTACGTCGTACTTGTATGGTAGTTTTAGCCATTGTATTGCCATTCATCTACCATATTCCATATTCAGGTATTTAAAAAAAAAACATATAAGGGTTTCCGACAACAAACAAAATAAAAGACGTATAGTAAATTCTTATTAATACGATTTATCATAACAGAAAGTTCATTAAATAACAATAATAAACTGCTTCAGAATAAAAAATGTTGGTCTGGTTCTACCGAAAAAGTTTTTATATAATCTGGTTTAGGTTTGCTATATTGTATTCTAATATTTTCAGTTATTGTTCATGTAGAACATTTGTAAAAATGCGCTTGAGCGCGACTTTTATCCCAGCTTTGAGAACAAAACATGTTCAGATGAGTTTGGCATCAGCGGTCAGATACATTATTATGGAACGATGAGTACAGGTTGGAATATGACGCAGTTGCCTCTCTCAGTGCATTCAAATTCGTCCGAGATATTAAAAATATTTACACGTGTCATTCACGAATAACAGACTTTATCATAGTGTGCATCCGGGAAGGTATCTGACAAGTCCGGACCCAGGATTTTCGACAAGGAGGAACCGATTCTTTTTTGTCTTCAGGAAGGGTATGAAATTTTTTTTCTAATTGAGCCTAGAAGTGTTGTACAAAAAATTCATGTAATATTAGAGGAAAAGAAATCTCTTTTCTCTTTTTTTCCTACCACTACGAAAAAGCCCTTTGCGACGTCACTCCTACACAGTTTTAGTTTGACTGCCATAATATTGTGAGCTAACTCTACAGAGTTCGAGACATAGTATGGAAAATATAAAAACGCAGGAAGTATGGTGTGATTCAGCGGGGAAAAAAATCATTTCTTCAAAAGTTCAAGGGGGAATAGTCTCCCCCTCCTCCCCTCTGACTACGGCTCCGGTCTCTGGCAAAAATTAGTCTGAAAATACATTGGGATGTGGTAAAATAAGTTTTTCATTAAAGCCAACCATATTCAAAACAAAAACGACATAGATTATGGATCTAAGCTCTCTTTTGGCTAAATTAACGAACGTTATTTTTAAGGAAGGAACTTAATAAATAGTTTCCTAGTTTGCACTAATAGTGTCGAAGAAACAAATTTATTTTCTAAGCTAACTAAGTTCCCGTAGGTGTGTGATCAGTGTGAGGTGTTTCCGTGATTTTTCGACGCTTCGGACTTTGCCAAAATATTCGTCTGTATACAACACGTCTATAGTGCATGAAATTTAATGGAACTCGTTCCCTAACTATTACTGTGAAGTTTTCAAAACCCATTGGTTCTTCAGATAAAATCTGTTTTTCTTACTCCAGAAATAACTTTAAGAAAAACAAAGGTCATATTAATATACATTCGACTAGATAGACTACTGAAAACTCGCACTGACGTTTGAAATATGATACGGTCTACCTATTTCTAATCTTTGAAAAGCACAAGTCGTGCCAATCTAAACTTTCTCATTCTATATGCATTTCAGATTTTTCAACTATTATACGCAATCATAAATCTGATTATATTGTTGTATCCTAGCATACGTAAACACATAGATGAAAATACTATTACAACTTGTCAGTTTAGTTAGAAAATATGTTATAGTCTTAAATCTTAACTATTTACTTAGAATTTTATTAGTGTGTGCTATATTAATCATTTCACAATAAAATACAAACAGACAGAAAATATTAATTTGTAAACTGTGTGTTTTTAGAAAAAATTTCGAGACTTGAATGAGCGTACACTACGAATAACTAAGTTTTGTTATTCATGTAGTACTTCGGCTTGTGATAAAGTCATTTCGAAAGTATGTTTGTATTTTGTACTATAATACGAACGTATACACTTGAAGAAAGTTGGAAATTTTTCAAACATGTGTTAATTCTATTCAAATTTGTAACAAATGTGTTATATAACACGAATTCGGATAAGTTGTCATCGGACATTAAATTCTTGCCGTATCAACGTCAATTGTCTATATACATCAGGTTCTTTCTTCAATATTCGACGTTGATCTATTGATTAATGGTATATTCGGATCTGTGTTAGTATTAAAACATTGTGAATTTTTCATACTTGATAATGCATGGTCTCTTTCATTGGTCGAACTTTTTCTACTACTGTCACTATTTTTCAAATAATCTTGTTGTGGTCGATTATAATTAGTTAATTGATAACCGAATGAGTAAATTCTTTCATCATCGAACTTGTTAATATAATTTCGAAAATATGCTGCTTGTTGCCAATTGGGCGTATGATAGAGGAGAAAACGATCAACACTACGACATATTTCACGCTGAACTTCAGAATTAATAAGTGTATATATTAAGGCAATTATTAAACCCTGTAGAAGAACCGTCAACGTTATACACAGATGTTGGAAGAGTATTAAACAACTTACTTGAAACGATGAAAATATTGTATGTACAGTAAGATGAAATACGAGCACTTTCCAATTTAAAATTGGCTTTGTATTCCATAAGAAAAGAAAATAATGAATTCCAAATAGCGGAATTAATATCAACGTTGAACGAGTTAATCGGCTATACAAGAAAACATTTAAATATTTAAAAAACAAGTTGATATCGTTCATAAATCTTTACCTGTATTTACTGAATCGTCTTTTATCGTGATAAGTACATGTACGATAGGTTTTATTCAGTTTTCTTGCTAATAGTATGCAGATATAGATAAATATGAAAAAATTAAACTAAAAGTTCAAGGAAAAAAACAGAAGAAATCAAAATATTATAGGCAGAAAATATCAGGTGCAAGGAACCTGACAGAAACTGAACGCATGACATGAAATATAGACTTGAACATGAGGTCTTCTTCTGGTCAAGGATTCTGAAACTTCCTCAATGT